TCCCAAAAATAGTCAGTATTCTTGAAATGGAGGTAAAGCCCGGAGCTCTTTAGTCCCTGTCATGCTGCAAAGGGCTGTTTCTCTGGTTCCCTTAGAGCAGCATACGACAGAGGCGAAGGATGTCACTAAGCTCAGGAAAGGGCAAGACTGCTGGCACCCAGCTCTGACCTCCCAGAAGTATGGCAACTGTGTCAACAAACATCAGATGTGTGAGGACCAGCAGCTGGCTGTGTCGCTGGACTCCCATAGAGTCGACCATGGTTTGAGTCCTGGACCCAGTGGATTAAAGTAACAGAGGAGAAGGGATTGCGGCGTAGCCATCCACCCTGGGAAGTGATTTCTCGCTTTCTCTCTCTCTGTCTCTGTCTTTCTGGTGAGCGCACGTGCCCTATAGTAAAAACCTCTCAAAAAAAAAAAAATCAGATGTGTGAAGATCAAAGTCACTCTATTCTGCTAGCTAAAGAGACCACCCACCCTCAACCTAAAAGCTCCTTTCCCAGCAAAATAAAAGTATACAGAAGAACAAAATTAAAATACACTTATCTATAGAGTAAGGATTTCTAAGTAAGAATGTAATCCTTACTTCAAAAAATTTAACTATGGAACCAGCAGTTAGCGTAATGGCTATGTCGCTGGACACCCACATAGTCGACCGCAGTTCGCGTCCCGGACCTGGTGGCTTAAAACTCACGCCGGGTGCGTGTGCGTGCGTGCCCAAGATCCCGAGAGGAGAATGGAGGAGAAGGGATTGCAGCGTGACCATCCCCCCTGGGGGGTGATTTCTCACTGTCTGTCTCTATGTCTCTCTCTGTCTGTCTGGCGAGCGCACTCACCCTATAGTGAAAAACCTCTCCAAAAAAAAACCATTTTAACTAGAGCCATCAGCCATCAGGGCCAACTGATGACATCTCAAAGATGCACCCAGAGTCAGTTTCTGGTGACTTATTGTTAGAGGCGTCTAGTCCAAAATATTAACTTATTCCCAAATATCTTAACCACTAGTAGGACTGCAGTGTATTATCTCCCAATTATCAAGCACTGGAAAAGGAAAGAAAAAAAAGAAAAAACCCAGATGTTCAAGCAGCAGGCAACAACTGTTGCCCTTTTACACTGTAGCATCTGAGTGGCTATTGAAAAGTCCACGAATAATTCTTTTTTTGTTTTAAGAATTATTTTATTTAACTGTATTTATTTATAATTTGACGAGAGAGGGACAGAATAAGAGAGAGAGAGAGAAAGAGAGAGAGAATGCAAGCCACCAGGTCTGGAACTCAAACTATGGGTAGCCATGTGGGAGTCCAGCACCTCTAACCACCACACCACCTGCTGACCCCCAGGAATAATTCTAAAATCAAGAAAATTCATGCATTTTAGTAAATATGTCATCATTTTTACAGTTGCAATTCCCTTAGACATTGCACTTTCTTTGTAATGGCATCCTGATTTTTTTTTTTTTTTTGAGAGAGAGGTTTTTGCCATAGGGCACGTGCACTCGCCAGAAAGACAGAGACAGAGAGAGAGAGATAGAAAGTGAGAAATCACCCACCAGAGTGATGGCCATGCCGCAATCCCTTCTCCTCCATTCTCCTCTCGGGTGACCAAATGCACAGTCAGACTCCTAAGGAAACCAGGCCAGAGCAGTGGCCGAGGCGGCCCTGCCACAGTACCTCCAGCGGCCTCCCCATCTCGCCCCAATAAATAATTCTTTTTAAAAAAATACTCAAATCCCCAGACACCCAAAAAATAAATAAAAATTAAAATGCTAGGAGTACATTGTTTTGGACTAAGATTCTGCACTAGGCCTCAACAGGTCACAGTAAAAGTCCAATTGGAGTTGCTCGTGCTAAAATTCCATTCCAAGCATAAACCAAGTTGTTGTCTGGCCTTACAAGAAATCAGAAGAAGGACCAGCAGATGTTGAAATGGTTATGTCACTGGACTCCCAAGTAGTCGACTGTGGTTCGAGTCCTGGACCTGGCGGCTTAAAACTCACATTGGGTGCATGTGCGTTCATGCCCAAAATCCCAAGAGGAGAATGGAGGAGAAGTGATTGCAGCGTGGTCAACCCCACTGAGGGGTGATTTCTCACTTTATGTCTCTCTCTATCTCTCCAGAGAGGTTCTGTGCCTTATGACAAAAATCTCTCAAAAAAAGAGAAAGAAATCAGA